CCTTACTTTCTGTGGGATTCTATTGGGTTTTTTTGTTGTTGTTGGGATGACAAACCATCCATTAACAGTGTTTTCATGCATGGATATCTGATTCCGTCCATTTTATAGCTTTTATTGTACTCCTTCCGTTCCATAAAAAGGTTCCTCGATGGAATCGGCGCGGTTATTAGGAAAAACTGAAATTGTATGGTTAAAAGTGGTGTAGAGGAGAGACAAAGATTTTCAGAAATTGAAAGTGGAAACTTCTTTTAGGTTGGGCGGAAAAGAAAATGCAGAACCTATTTATGGGACGTGGGGAGTATAACTTTTCTTGTTCTTGTTCCTGATTGCAGTACACTTGGTCAGGGCCTTCAAACTAGCACATATCCGGGAGAGTCGATATTCTCAATTGCACTTGCCATATTTGGGTTGATTCTCTTTGCATTACTTATTGGTAACATGCAGGTAGTTAATTGCCTTGATTTTACTTGGTTGTTTTTCAGTGCTCTTACTTTGTTCGTCCTAATGTGTTCACTTTGTCTCCGATTTTGATTTTGTATTTGACCCGGGGTCTCTTAGAAACATGCTTTCTACTTCCAACTTCCAAGTAGAGGTAATGTCTACATACACTAGGTTTTGGTTTTGGAACGGCAGTTCTAGTTCCCAGTGGGACCTTAACTGGAACTGGACAGGGGAAGTACAATCCCAGTTGCGGTTCCCAACCAATTCTGGTTTATTTATTTTGGAAAAAGTGCTAGACATTTTACTCCATAAAGTATTACTCCCTCCCTCAACAAATTATCTTCCCTACTAATGTCGGATTTTACTGGGTTTGTTGTGTTCTTTTTTTATAATTAAAGGGGCTGTACAAATCGATTGTTTCTATACGATCTCGGTGGAACTTATGTAACCCTCTAAATCCATGGCTTACATTACTTTGATGGATCGCCATCCCATGGGCTACCAAACATATATATGATGTGATGAATATCATGGGACAATTTAGCCAATCCTATACAGCCCAGTTTCTCTTTTTCACCTCTTCCTATGTGCGAATTGTGAAAGAAGTTGTTAAAGAAATCATGAGTGAGTGTCTGTTTTTATTTATTGTACATTTGTATTACAGACATATCTCCAGTCTCTAACCATTCGACTTGAAGAGATGAGAGTGAAAAGGCGGGACTCAGAGCAATGGATGCATCACCGCTTACTTCCCCAAGAACTGAGGGAGAGAGTTAGACGCTATGATCAGTACAAGTGGCTGGAAACCCGTGGAGTGGATGAAGAGGCCATTGTTCAAAGTTTACCAAAAGATCTCAGAAGGGAGATCAAACGCCATCTCTGTTTGGCGTTAGTGAAGAGGGTAATTTTAATTTTTTTAAAAAATTGTTTGTTTGTTTTGTTTTTGCTCTTGTGTTTACTTTGTCCTTGTGTGCTTGAGCTAAGGCTAAGACTAGGGGTGTATACGAATCGAATCGAAGCAAATATATCACTATTCGATTCGTATTCGATTAAAGTGATATGTATTCGAATTCGGATTCGTATATAATTCGAATTTTAAAAAACATTCGTATTCGATTCGATATATATTTGACGTATTTGAATTCGTATTCGAATATTCGAATTCGAAAATATTAGTAATTTTTTCTTAAAACAAATTTCTTAAAGACATTAAATTATTATTTTATAATAATGTAAAATGTAGTAAAAATATGTTAGAATATAAATAAATTTATTTATAAATTATAATATTCGAATATATATAAATTTATATGTACACAAAAATTTAATATATTAAAATATGTTAAAATATGTACACAAATATTTAATATATTAGAATATATATAAATTTATTTATAAATTATAATATTCGAATAATTTGAATAATAAACGAATCGAATCTATTAATATTTGTATTCGAATTCGAAAATAATTCGAATCTAAAATATGATTTGTATTCGAATTCGAATATAGCGAATACGAATCATCCTTTTCGTATACGAATCACGAATCGAATACATTTTATTTGATTTGTATGCACCCCTAGCTAAGACCCTGTTTTCTTCACCTGATCAGATTGGAATAAATTCTGATATGGTCTTATCTGATTTAGTTATATTTAAAGATGTTTCTGATCTGGTTTGGTCTGATGCGATTTGATTCCAATAAGAATAAGTAGTAAGTAATAAGAATAAGGGGCTGTTTGTTTCAGCTTCTTAATGGTTCAGATGTCTGAATAGTTCAGCACTTAATGGTTCAGACTGTTTGTTTCGTGAGCAGATGTTTGAATGGTTCAGACATTTGCCTCTGAATGGTTAAGTATTATACAGAGTCTGAATGGTTAAGACCTTTTGTCTAAATTGATCAGACATTTGCCTCTGAATAGTTAAGCAATATACTAGCTTTTAATGGTTCAGACCTCTTACTAGTTCAGCACTTAATGGTTCAGACCTCTTACTGGTTCAACACTTACCTATTCAGAAGTTGCCAAACAGTCCCTAAGTTGAAGAGAACATGATCTAGTAATGATATAGTGATTCTTTTTTCCAGGTTCCTCTATTTGAGAACATGGAAGAGAGATTGCTCGATGCCATCTGTGAGCGCCTAAAACCATCTCTCTACATCGAGAACACGTACATCGTGAGAGAAGGAGACCCGGTGGACGAGATGCTCTTCATCATACGCGGCCACCTCGAGAGCGTGACGACGGACGGCGGGAGGAGCGGGTTCTTCAATCGGAGTCTCCTAAAGGAGGGCGACTTTTGCGGCGAGGAACTCCTCACGTGGGCCCTCGACCCCAAGTCCGGCATCAACCTGCCCTCGTCGACCCGGACGGTCAAGGCCTTGACGGAGGTGGAGGCCTTTGCGCTGGCGGCAGATGAGCTGAAGTTTGTCGCCGGCCAGTTCCGCCGCCTGCACAGCCGCCAAGTCCAACACACGTTCCGGTTCTACTCGCAACAGTGGAGGACTTGGGCGGCCTGCTTCATCCAGGCGGCGTGGAGGCGGTACATGAGGAGGAAAGTTATGGAGATTCAGAGGAAGGAAGAAGAAGAAGAAGCCGAGCGGGAATTGTTGGCGAGTAGGGCGGGAAGCCATGGCCACGGGAGTTATAGCATCGGGGCGGCGTTTTTGGCTTCCAAGTTTGCCGCCAACGCGCTCCGGGGCATTCATCGGAATCGGAACCTTAAGGGCGGTGCAAGGGAGTTGGTTAAGCTGCAGAAGCCGCCGGAGCCCGACTTTAGTGCAGAAGACGCGGATTGAGATTATTTAACTTGTATTGTATGTAGATATATATACACACATGATACATGTATACATATTTTGTTTTTCCTTAAATGAATCAAACTGATCTTGTGTGTTTGCGAAAGAAAAATTATTTAATTACTATCTGTCTAATTATGCTTGTAGAGAATTTGAGTGTTTGGCTCAAGAAAATGCATGTTTGGAACTGGAAGCAGCTCCAAATAATCTTGACACTTTGACTTCACCAATTTTAAGATATATGTTGAGACTTTGGTGAAAATGAAAAATGAGTGCTTGGAATATATTTGCATGTATTGTGTGTGTGTGTGTGTGTGTGTATAATGAAATAAATGTTTAAATTGAGTATTCTTTGCCTATTATTGTTACTTGTTTAATAACATATAGGCCCCGTCTGGTACATGTAATTCAAACCATGGAATTGGAATTGAATATTTCAATTCTAATTCTGGTGTTTGGTAGCACAAAAATTATGTGGATTTGGAATTGATAGTGTAAAAAATGAATTGAAATTGGCAGAATTCAATTTTATGGAATTGAATTCTATGAAATTTCAATTCCAATTTAAATCCAATTACATCAATTCCGTATACCAAACGGACCCGTAATTATGGAAACATGGTCTATCGAAACATTGTAAAGATGGGCGGGGCTCGAGATGTGCTTGAGGCCCACACTAGGATCCATAATTATAGATAACTCGGCCCAATGAATTTGAAGTAAATTAGGACAGATTGAGATAGGACTTGGGAATATTGGGTTGAAGCAATCGTTAAGCTTCAGCCCATAGAGGACCGGGTCATCAAAGGAAGGCACAGTCCACCATTATTCTTATATCTGTACTCTTTCATTGTTACAATGCTCTGACACTAAAATTTTGATCTTTTACTAATGAAAATATTAGAGATCTATCAATAATATTATTATTTCTAAATTTTTAAAAGTTTTGATGAAATTTCAAAAACATTTACGTAATATGAAGTAATTTTTAGTTTTCAATTTCATATTAATTTTTAAATAATTAAATTAAAATAGTTTCAATCAAATCTGGTCAATGGAAGTTTTACTCCCTCTGTCTGAACTTAATCTTCTCGTTTCTCCTTTTTCTTTGTTCAGATTCAATCTTTTCATTTTTTTATAGATGTGTGTTAAGACAAAAATATCCTTCATTTCTTTAAAAATTTCCAACAATCCATATATTTCTACTTTTTCGGTAAGAATATTTTGGGACGAGACGAATTCACATAAGTCTACACTCATTTTCATAAACATTAGTATATAAATATCATGAATGTATTTAATTCATTAAAAAATAAAAAATTTACATGTCAACTTATAAAAAGTACGAGAAACTCTATATTTCACTAAGAGCATACACAACGACGAGGCAATATGTGGCCGTCATGTCAGCAAATACCACCCAAACCCTGTCATTCCACAGTCATTCCACTCTATTTTTCATTCCATGTGCAAGACATGACTCTTTCATTTTTATTTTTTTATTTTTTTTATCTTTTAAAAATGTCTTTTTAAAGAAGTAGACATATTTTAATAATAAAATAGATGTGTAAAATATTTTTTTATAATTAAAAGTTGTTAAAAAGTGCAAAAGGAACAAAACCAATGACTTATCATTGTATGTTATGTCACTCCACTCACTTGTCACACGTTGATTATATTATTTTTTATCGATTAAAATATTACATGTCAGCGTATGGCATTAACGTCATTATTGCTCATGCTCTAACATATGTTTGGATAAGCAAAATCTTGGCACAAATATACTTCCTCCAAAGGGAGTATCTTCTTCCACAAGAAAATGAGGTACATAAATTTCGTAACATTCCGTTTCTTTCTTCTTCTAGCTTAGTGGAAGTTCAAAACCCTAGTCTACTGCGAATTGGAGAGGAAAAACCGAAGGCAATGGTGGGGACGAACTTGAAAGCCGAGGCGATGAAGCTGATGGACCAAAGGAGCGCCATCGAGCTTGAGATGAATGCCATCATCGAACGCCTCTGTCGCCCTGACGGACCTGGCTTCTCCGGAAACCTCACCGATTCCGAGGCAATCCCTCTTTCCATTTTATTCATTATACGCATGTGTGCTCTATTTGCTTCGAGGATTTGAAGCGATTTCTTCTTCTTCTTCTTTTCAATAATCCGATTTAGGGTTTCCCGAGAGCAGACATTGATATTCCTGCCGTGCGCGCTGATCGGCACAGGCTTGCTGGTAACTCCTCCTTTTCATGGCGATTTTAGCTACATGCGAAGAATTTAGTCATGTCTGTTAACCTATAGAGTTATTAGCTGGTTGCAATGATTTGTGATTTTCGAAATGGAGTTTTGAGCCCCGCGAGTAGTATAGTAGTGTTGTGATGAAATAGTTTGCCCCCAAAATGCAGAGTTGCGGAATGATCACAAGAACATCACAGAAAAGATGGACCAGTATATCCAGGTCCTGCATTCGGCTAGGATTGCTCCAGTACCTTCCACTGCCCAAAATGCAGGTATTTGTCACTCTTTGTGGACATTGTGAGCCTTTCATTCAGTGCTGTAATGATGTTCATTGTGATAACTTTATCTCGTCTCAAGGATGGTGTAGCTTGTACGAGTAGTAATTTTTAAACTTCACCTAAACAAAGACCTCCTATTTGAGCAAGGTAGAACTATAAGATTCTTTTAAGGGTCTATTTGGATGGAGGTGTTTAAATAGGAAGGGGTTAGGCCATATCTTGATATAGACTTTATATTCATAAAGATTTATCAAGGTATATACTAATCTATCCCAAGTTGTCTAATCTCAATCTCCCCTACAAACCATCCGTCGTAATGCCTTCCCTAACAGTGTGAATAGTTATATCATAAGCATTACCATTGACCTGTTCCTATAAAGGATATTTATATAGTTTGAACGCATAGATTTTTCCCCGAGATCCTAATTCAAAAGCTTTCCTTTTTAATCATGAAAAAAACAAGATTGTCTTCCAATAAAGCAAATCTAATTTTTCATTAAATCTAAAAAAATCCATAAGCAATTAAAATATGAATTTTTTTGTTGAACTAATATTTCTGTGTGTATGCATCTACGGGAATGCTGCAGCTTCAAATGTTGCCTCTTCGAATATTATTGCCACGACTCCTGCTACTAGTGCCATGGACGTGGATATTGTTGCTAGTAAACCCTTTGCACTAGTAGATGAAATTGCTGAAGCATCCCCGGCAGCAGAAGATGGACTGCAACTCGGAGATCAAGTTGTAAAATTTGGTAATGTGGAGTCTGGCGACGACTTATTGCAAAGGCTTGCAGCTGAATCTCAGACAAATCAGGGCAGGGCAATACCGGTGGTGGTCATGAGGCAAGGTGTGCCAGTCAACTTATCACTCACCCCTCGGGTGTGGCTGGGACGTGGCTTGCTAGGGTACACTCATCTCTCTCTCTCATATATATTTTCAACTATCTTTATTACATATTTACATTACCATGGATACCAAATAAGTTTTGATACGGAGTAGAATTTAGTATAGGTTAGGAGTAACTCAACTGTTTCAATCAATGTCTTATTGCCCAATTAGGGAGTATTATCTTTCTAATTTTTTGAAGGGTATACTACTCTC